GGGCACACAGGAATTGGCAGAGATGGGGTTCTCTCTCAGCAGTGTGACTCTGGAATTCTTAGTCTAGCTTTGTGCTATACTGCCTCATAGCCCGAGGGGCCCATAGTAAGCTCCTGATCACAGCAAGTGAGTCTCAGCAGGATGGAGAAGCACCTGTTTAAAAAGTGGGTAAATATATTTTAGGATGTTTGAAATAAAACTGCTTCCCTCTCATTGTAAATGTGCAGGGTTTTCTCCTATTTTTTAAGCATGATGGATAAAATTATGTTTTAGTGGGCTAGTCTAGGAACATTGTTTTTATGAGAACATAACTTATGAGTTCCCACAAAACTACTGGAACAGTCTGTTCATAAAATGGGGACTGCCTTTATTTCCATCCAAGGTGAAGTTAAAATGAGGGCAACAGGGATAAAATGGGGGATAAGAGACACTTCAAATTCCTCATAGATACGATTCCTGCACAGCAGAATGCAATCTGGAAAATACATTCCAACTTCCTAAGTGTGCTGAAAATAAATGTAAACGGTTCATTAGAGCTAATCTGGCAGCCAAAAGTTAATATTAATCACATAGAAGATCAATCTATCAAAGAACAATGGATTAACTCGGTTCTAGAAACAGCAAAATTTGCGTAGGCCAGGGAGGAAGCAATGGGACAAGAGGCATAGGCAAAAGAGAAATTCATCCCCTCTTCATATGATTCAAGGAATTGAGAACAGGCAATGAGGTATACCCATCTCTTTTTGGCTCTGCCCAATGAATAAGCAGTTTAATCAATTTTCACCTTTCCCTCCCTGTCTTCATCTGCCATTACTAACTCAATAGAAGAATGTATAACCCTAGTTCAAATACAGGTCAAGATGACTATTATAAATATTATGAGTTTATGCTATTAGCTTCTCCCTCAATTCTTGTCTCATGTGCTCTAAGTAAAGGGCTGCACATGGTAATTTTTATCCAAAGCATCTTTAATGAAAAAAGGGGTTCTATGGTCAAATCAATCTGAGAAATGCTGCATGATAACCCCTCTCTTAAGATACTGAAGGCTCTGAGAAGTCTTTCAGGAAAGATACCCATTTAACACTTGTAACCCAGTACTTATCAAGCCTTTTGACCATATAATCCTTTTTACTTAACTCTTATTAACATCTTTGTACAGAATAAAGGTAAGAATTCCGAACCAGGAGGAGGGCAAACAGTGCTCCATCTCCTTCCTGTGTGAGTTCAGGGAGTCCACAGAACCTCCTGGGACTCCAGCTTCCTGAGGGAGCTGGGCTCTGTGGACGCACTCTGGACCTGCTAGCTCCCTCCTGCTAAGCCCACGACTTGGGAGAGCCTCGCAACACCCAGGAGCAGCCCCAACAATGGGCTCTTTTACGCCTTCACATTCAGTCCTTTATCTCCTGGCTGAGCACTAATACTGCAAAGGCTGTTTTGGGGGAGGGGATAAGTAGAGGGAGGGAATTTGTAGAGAATTATTAAAACAAGCTTTCATTTGTTCTTTGAAACATTTGCTGGCATTCACACATGACTTTTAAAATAGTTTTTTGTGCTTTTTCATTTAAATATGCAGGTTTAATAAACATTATTCATCCAAAACAGAGAAATGAAGCACTCTTACAACTGATTTTTTAGGCTACATTCTTGGGCTACATTCTCAGCTAATTTCACTGGAAACATTGTTAATCCTGACATTTCAACTTTGTTTTTAGAAAAATTATCATGAACCAGAGACTGTTCCTAATATTAAAAATATAACTTTTATACAGTTTCACAAAATTACTTACCTGTTATTTTATTTAAATATCTTTCTCCTTTAAAACAGTTCAGAGAAAACTAGGGGTTATCTGACTACAAGTTTAGGTTGATTTTTTATTTTCTTGTTTTTATAGCAAGGACATATTAATGATATAACAGCAATAACATTTGTATATGTAACGAGCATGTGAATGACATTATTCTAAGCAATGTGTGTATGTGTGCATTAATCTTAACCCTATAAACAGGTACTATTATCCCATTTTTACTCGTGGAAACTGAGGTGAGGAGAGGTTAAGTGACCTGCCAAGGTCACACATCACTAGTAAGTGGCAGAGTTGAGATTTGAATCTAACAGTCTGTGTTTTTCAACACTATGCTATACTACCTCTTGCTCATATTTGTAGAACAATAGAACCACTGCCATAAAAACTTATAAATTGTTGAGGGACGCAATGTGGAGTTACAATGAACTCTGTGATATAATTAAAGAAAAAGGAATATCTAACTTCTTGGTTCTGGTCAAGTCAGATCAAGATGAAAAGGTCTGATTTATATCATGAGGGATATGGGTTAGACACAAGAAAACAAGTTCTTCCTGTTCAATAATGTGAGACTGGCTCACCTAAAAAGGCTGGAAACCTCCTTTCCATATTCAGCCAAAGTGAAAGAACCATCTGAAATATTCTGAAATAGTTCTCACAGAAATTAAAATGGGCTAAGTTAACAGTCTCCACCCTTGTTATTCTAACTCCCTCCTGAGAGTACTCCATAACTGTTTTTCCAGTCATTAGAAGAATGTTCTTCAACATGTTAAGAAGGTGGATAGGGACAGATTAAAAAGACTTGAGGGACATAACCAGCCATGCAACGTGTGGACTTCTTGTCCTGATTCTGACAGACACAAACCAACTTGGAAAGGCTTTTTTTTGAAATAACCAAGAAAATTTTCTTATGGACTGGATATTAGCTGATTATACCAAGGAGTTACTGTTGAATTTGTTAGGTCTGATAATAGCATCAAGGTGATATGAGAAATCTCCAGAATTTTTAGAGATGCATCCTAAGGTAAAGTAAGATTGAAATGACAAGATGTCTGAGATTTTTACTTAGACCAAACAAAAAAGGGGGGGATAGTGCTAAATAAAGCCAGTGTGGTGAAACCTTGATAACTGCTGAACCTGAGTAATAGTATATAAGGGATCACTATACTGTTCTCTCCGCTGCTGCATATGAATGTGGGGGGTGGGGGCGCGGCAAGTGCCTTCTTATAATGTTCACCTTTGTCTTTAACCCATTGGGTTAGCTTTATTATAAGACCAACAGCCGAATCTGTTTGGTATTCCAGGTGTACTTAATATACACCCATCTTCAGGACAGCTAATATCCCCCAATAATTAGGAAATAAATTTTTGTTTTTCTGAGGAAAATGACCACATAGCTAAATCATTATACTTTCCATAAATACCTTTACCAAAAGCTCATCAAAACACATTAAAATGCAAATAAAAGCCTTCAGAGACAGGAATAAACACTACACAAATTTGTGGTCAAACTCAACATTTTCTCTCATCCTCTTCTCCCACCCAACCTCACACAGACAACCACTAAGACATTTTGTTTCTAACCATACACCAGCCTTTTGCTTTTAATCATGTTCTATGGCAAATTTTGCATCCTGCTTTCTCATCTAACATTATGATATAATGTTTTCCTGTTCCAATTCTTCATAAACACCCATTAATGGCTGGAGAATAACCCCTCAACTGAAGAATCTAAACTCTCCTTAAATCTTCTCCAACTATTGGATATCAGGGTTTTTGCCATTGGTTTGATATTATAAATAATACTCTAATGAACATCTTTATGTGCAATAATTTTTTAGATAATTATATATATTTCCATAGGACTGATACTCAAAGCACAATTTTAAAAACCGAGATGAGCATCTAGTAATTCACCTTAACACAAAAAGAAAAGAATAATTTTAAAAAGCTCCTGCTGAGAGGTGAATTTGCGCTAAATGAACCCAATATTCTGACTCCATAATCAGGCTCGTCCTGTGTGCTTGATGAAAAATGTCACTCTGTCTTATTGCATCTTGGTAACACAGGGTGTTATCCTTGATCTAAACCTAGTCACTTCCCCTAGATGTTTCTTGCTCCAGTTGTTTTTCTTTGAGTTGTAACAACATGAATTTGTAGTCCTGACTGTTCTATTTCAAATTTCATTGTGCCTTTGCTCCCATAGCAAATTGCTTCTATCCCTCATGTAGCACTTCTTCCCTTCTCCCTCATGCTACAGTTAGTTGTTTGCATTATCTGTCTGCTGAGTGTCTTTAATGGGTCCTTTAATCCCCTACCATGCCTGGGATTGTGCTCTGCAAAGTGTAAACACTGCCAGGACATCAGCTGATTTTAATCAAATTATTAACATCATTCTGTTCCTGAGCAGGTTAGTTCCTTTTGTATTGTCCTCTGCCCCCATCCAGTGCTTAAAAACACATCTCTAGCTTCTTTTACAAGTTTAATGAATGTGTTATTTACATCCTTTCCTTGATAATTAATAAAGATGTTAAGTAAGACCATGCTGAACATAGATTCCCACCCTCCTCTAGACTCAATACATTGCATTTATTACTACATTTTCAGTCCTTTGGGCAATTTCTAATCAATTTGACATATCCATAGTCAATCTGAATTCATTTTCTGAACTAGATTTTATGAGACCTGGTATCAATTCTTCCATTAATGTTCTGGATATATTTAGAAGTAATAATATACTGACATGTGCATTCTTTTGTCCACTTGTTTTCAGATTTTCAAAAAAAATCAAGTTGGTCTAATATAAGCTTTATAAATCTGTGTCATTGTGGCACATGGCTCTAAATCGCCTAGATGTTCATGTATTTACCTATACAAATGCTCTATTAGTAATATAGTTTTCCTCATTCATTTATTCGTTCAACAACTGCCTGTGGAATACTTACAAGGGGCAGGAACTGTGCTTGGAACAGGTTTAAAACTAATTCTATTTAAAATTAATTACTCAGGAGCTCTTGTTCTGTGTAATTATAAAGGACAGTGCTCTCTTGAAGTGTTATTTTTACTATACATTAGCAATGCTGGATCATGAATGGGGCAGTAAGAAGAGAGAAAGCTCAGTTTGAACTCCTTTGAGTAGCTATGATGAACTATGATATACAGATTCCTGGGGGAAATATTCTGAAAACAATGGCTAAAGCAAGATATGAAAATGAAGCTGTGCTTTGATCATCTGTGGTATCTTTGCCAACAGTGCTCTGGACAATTGATAATTGGATATTCATCCTTTAATTCAGTGCTACTTATTCTCTCTGTCTCTCTCTCCTTACTCTCCATGATTTCCAAAGGAGAGTTTCCATATTTTGATGAATTCATTACCACTTCCATTAACACTGGTTAACACATCATCCGAGACCTTGACTATTTATTTGTTTTCTTCCTTATTTTTTAAATGAAACAGATCTTCATTACTGTTTAATTATCCTTATTTATCTTCTTAAAGGCCAGTTTTAAAAAGCAGTTCAAGCAGCTCAGCCACTTTGCCATCAATAGCTCAGTCATTTGAGCATAATCATTAAGCTTATCTCCTTATTCATTTAATGTGAGGCCTCCTTTATCTCTGGTTTGCCTTCCTTTCTTTTCTTTATTATGTTTGTATTATTACCCTTTGCACCACTGATCACCATAAATACTTCTTGGTCGTAACTCTGGAACCTCTTCCATGATTCATGCTATCGTGTGAGAGTTCTATAGACAGACTTCATTTACTCCTTTTTTTCCCTTCTGTTTTTGCACAGTTGTCCTTGCCACTGGATATTGCTTCTGTTTTTTCCAGTGATGTTTAGCTCTGTGGTGAAACCATTGACCCTGAGGGAAATACTTGCTCCAGTTTTACAAGGTGAGAAGTGGTACAGAACCACAGGGTGCAGCTAACTGGTCAAGGACTTCCTCAGATACACCTGCTCCGGCCCCAGGGGAACACACACCAGGCTTCTCAGGAAAGCCAACCCCTGTTCTGCACAGTACAGCCCAAAGGCCAATGCACCTGAGGAAAGGCAGACGATCCCTATTGGTGAGTTTCCCACCTCAAAACAGCAGAGGCTCCTGTCTTCAATACTGGCATTGATTTAGCCGGCTAATCTCTCTCTCATTTACCTGGAAAACCACAGACTAAGAGAAACACTAACTTGTTTTTCTTTTTTGGATAATATCCATGCTTATATTTGGACTTAGATACATTCGCTTTCTCTTTTTATTCCTTCCTTAGTTTTGTGCTATCTGAATTTGTGACTGCTGTTAGGCTAGATTAATTACCAACTAGTTTTCACCCTCTATTTTAACACAGAAATAAGTCTTTGAAGATAGGGAAAATTTTACAAAGAAATTTATTTTAAAGGGTCCAATTACAAAGAAGTCACAAACTAAAAAGATAAATAAATACTACTATATTAATAAGTATAATACTATTGGCAAATATTACATCTATCATTTCAATAACATGCTTCTTTTAAAAAGCTTGAGACACCCATAATTATGACATAAATGCTATTTTTGTATCAGTGTAGCAAGTATATGCATTTTTCTTTCAAAACTGAATTAAGTAAAGGTGTCAATTTACTATGTTCTTTAAAATTTGTACCACATAAATCAGTCCAAATTTTTTTATCCCCAACCTGTCCTTTTAGAAACTAAAGTTATTGTGGATAAATTGACTCTTACCTTGGTGTGACAAAATAAAATGAGACAAAATAAGCTGATTTTTGTCCTCTGAGTTCTAGCTACTCACATATTCATACTTTTTTTTATCTGGGAGTGGATACACCATTTCTATGAGTAGGAAGAAATCTTTGAGGTGCAGATTGTTTTTTTCCCACTGTATCTTTGTCTTTGCCCATCCTGGGACCTGCGTCCATATGGCCCTGATTTATTTTCTCTACAATTCCTTCCTTCTCTTTCAGTTCTGACACTACTCCTGTCCATGGTTCATTCTGCCCCCACTTCCCATTTTTAGGATGACTGCATTCTTCATCCTCAGATGTCACACCAACCCCATATGAGTAGCTTTGTAGCAGCTTTACTGGAGAGGATTAAATTATTTTTAAATTACCACCATTTTTCTGATAAACTAACACATATAAGGCATTAGACAGTACATACCAGTTTTGGCAAGAGGCCTCTCCTAAATTGTCCAAACACATACCAGGGGAAAGACTGTCTCTCTGGGGTGAAGATAAATGCCACGGGAAGATAGATCAGTTTTTACTAACTGGTTCAACAAAAGCAAGGGCCGGGCTTGAAACAGCTTATTCCAGGCACGTCATCTTCTCCCATCCTTTTTTTTTCCCTTCTCATGTTTTTTTCCTTTTTCTCATTTGTTTTTGTTTTGGTATTTCCAAAAAAACCCCACAGATTCCTTCACTTCATCTCAGCTTCTTTCCCTCCATCTCTCAGGCATTTCACCTCCCCTTTGGCTCTCCATCCCGGTCTCCCAGCTTGCTGAGATACAAATACACATTTCCAACTGCTGCCAGCTAAGTGCTCCAGGAGGAGGGAGTCCAGGGTTACCCCATGCCACCCAGCAAGGCTTCTATCAGAGGAGACAGCCCTAACCCCAGGGGTGGCAAAAATCACCACCATTATTACCTGGGCACCACAGAATTAGGCAGGGTTTTAGATGCCCACCTTTGATAATGAAAATCTCAGAAATTACATAGGTTGGTAATACAGCATCAGCATATTACACCACCTGAAAAACTCAAGTTCTAGCTATGGCACAATAGGCAGTGACAACCCAGATTAAAACCCACCCAGCAAATAGCTGCAGAATCTAGCGGTTCTAGGCTTCTGTACTACATCCTTTCCTTCAGTGCTGCCACGAGTTAGGGCTGCTCTCGCTCCTCTATTAGAAAATTTTAAAATGGGGCATTTAAACCAAATTGGAGCACAAGTAGATTAACAACAAAGAAAACTTCTCCATTATTCTTGCAATGCTTACTCATTCTATGATTTAAATATTATTCCTCAAATAGAGCCAGTGTGTGTCCACGTGGAATCATCAGAACACTGAACCTTCAGCTCTCCTCTGAGGGTCAAAGCTGAGATTTTGTGTATATAATATTATCATAGAAAGAATAAATATTTAAAAATGAACTAAATAATTTTTTATCTAATAGACTACCAGAGACAGAAAGTTTTCCCCTGGTGCAAACTCTCAGAAAGTCTGTGACTTTATGTGAGGAAACTATCAGGTTATTAGAGGACAGACGACAAACCCTGTGATCCTGCCACAATTCTTTTTCTGAAATTTTGTTATATTAAATTTTGATTCAACTAAGGAATCTATCAGCAAAGGCTTTGCGATATTGGTTATACAAAGATTTTCAATGAGTGACATTTTTTGAAGTGGAATTTGACTTAAATTTTATAATGATCCTGTAGCCTGGGTGTGGAAACTTTATCCATAAACTTTTAATTTTCACAGGGTTAGTCATTATGATATTTAGGAAATGATAAGATTAATTCAGTCAGAAACTTCCTTCTCTCATCTTTACTTGCCAAGATGCATCTGAAAGTTTCTTCTTTCACAAAGATTTTCCTTCTCTCACAACTGAATGTGATCTTTCCACCCCTCTGAACTATGCTCAAATTCTCCTATGGGTCCATTTCCAGCTTTCCTTTATCCTTCACTCTCAAACCTTACTGAAAGCGACTATATCAGCAACTGGAACTAACTTTTCAGCCTCTGCCCTGGCTGGTTGGCCAAGTGACTTCCAGAGTTAGTACTAAATAAAAAGAGTCCAAAGAAAATGTGAACCTTGCATCCTAACCCTACACTTAGCCTTAGATTTATCTCAGCTTTTAACTAGGCATGTCTCATTTTCCTATCCACCAAACAGGATTCCCGTAAGTCTAGTATCCATATCAATATAGATCAATGGTTCTCGAACCACAGAATTGGAAATAATTTTAGATAAAATTTAGCTCAACCTACTCATTTTAAAAGACAAGGCAAGAGAAGCTCAAAGAGGTCAAGTGCCTATCAGAGTTGGTGATAAAATTCAGACAAAATTGATAGGCGGTACTCTGGCCTATTTACGCAGCAGATGACCTGGTCTTAGAATTTGTTGAATCCATTGCATTGACTATAGAGATGTTAATTTAAGTGGAAATTCCAGACATGAAATTATCCTATTTTTCAAGAAGATTGAAATTGTACATTACTTGTAGTTAAACCAGATATTTAAAATCACTCATTTTTCCACTCAGTTCCTCACCAAACCTAAGCAGGCTCCAAGTGCTTTTGACTATCAAAACTGTTGTTACATGACAATAATTTCTATTGCACACTATGTAAAAATATGAGCCCTAGAGTCACACACACACACTGCTGCTACAAATAGGTAAACTGGTATGATCTTTCTGAAGGGCATTCAGCCATAAGTTATAAAAGACTTTTTATAACTTCAACCTGTCAATGTCACCTCTAAAAATTTATTCTAAGGAAAATTCACTAGAGAGCTAAGATTATGATCGATTTTCATTCTTTTTTCTTTGCACTTTTAGATACATTCCAAGATTTCTTACAATGAATTTATGTCATTTCTGCCACCGAAGAAAATCTCTCATTGTTTGAAAAGAACGAGGGAATGGAACTGGCTGTTTACCCTTCAAGGTCCCTTTCTGCTCTCATGCTCTGGTTGATTTTATTTATTTTATGTTTTGGTCAAAAGGTTATAGAAGGAGAGAAATTGTGTTTTCTAGAAAAGGCCACCAGCTTGTAACTGTGAACAGGTGTTCAAAGTATGAGTTTTCAAAAAGCTATATAAGAGTAAGGATCCTCTTCTTCTCATATGGATTTTGCACAGTCAATAGACCTGAACATAATTATTGAACACATTCTATGACCAGCATTTCTCTGAAAGGAACAAATCTTAAGGGTGTTTTCTTGGCCTTCATAACTATCTAGGGGGTAGCGATGATATAAACCCATAAAAATTTGACCATGAATGAGAGGTAGTAATTAATCTTCAAATGCAAAAACTAGAGTTTAGAAAAGGGAGAAATGCAGAACTAGATAAGGAATGGCTTTGCAGAGAAGGAAGGAATGAAAGAGAGATAGGACCATGAAGAGCCAGACCATGGGCAGGACCTGCCAGCAGTAGTGTGAATAAAGGTACACGGGACCGCATGTTCATGGGGCACTTCAGCTGTTTCACCTACATGATAAAGTTGAAAACTATAGCACTTAGAACCCTTCACAATCCATTCAAATGCCATCTTTAGTCCTTACTGACATACTGAATTTCTTTCCATTTTCTAAATCCTTGCCTTAGGATATGCTATTCCCTCTGCTCTTCCCTTATTTCTCCACCTGTAAACTCCTAACATTTTACAGTCCAGATCAAATGTCATCTGCCCCATGAAGACTTCACCTCATTGTCTACATGGTTTTGTTATTCTCTTATGCTCATGTTTTTATTATAGTTTCTTTCTATAAAAGACCATAATTACTCTGCTTATGATTCAGCCTTGCCCATTTGACTGTGAACTCCACAGGAACAGGGCCTATGTACTTTATTTTGGTTTCCAAACTTTGTGTTATTAGGTTTGAGTAGAATGTCAGAAGAATTGTTGAAAGAATCAAAAAGTAAATGAGTGAATATGAACAAAAGTGAAAAATAAAAGGGTGAAGAAAGGTTTCACTGTTTTTGAGTGGTAAAACACTGAGAAACAAGAGTCAGAAGGAAAGGATGACTAGGCCCAGCCTAAAGGGCACCTTCAGTCTTTTTTTTTTTTAAGAAAAAATTGTCCAGTTTATTTTATGTGTTTTTTTAAAAATATCATTTGTATGGTTCAAAATTAAGAAAGTGTGAGAGCATACACAGTGAAGGGCCTCCCCACTGCCCCAACCTGTTCTCCATCCCTTCAGCAACCAATAATACTGGTTTCTTCCAAGCTTCTTGACCTCCTTCCACCAATTTTTTTTTTTGTATAATTAATATACACACATGAGCAACATTGTGATTACTAGATTCCCCTCATTATCAAGTCCCCACCACATATCCCATTACAATCATTGTCCATCAGCGTAGTAAAATGCTATAGAATCACTACTTGTCTTCTCTGTGCCATACTGCATTCCCTGTGTCCGCCCCCCTACATTATGTGTGCTTAATCGTAATGCCCCCTTTTTCCCCTTATCCCTCCCTTCCCACCCATCCTCCCCAGTCCCTTTCCCTTTGGTAACTGTTAGTCCATTCTTGGGTTCTGTGAGTCTGCTGCTGTTCTGTTCCTTCAGTTTTTGCTTTGTTCTTATACTCCACAGATGAGTGAAATCATTTGATACTTGTCTTTCTCCACCTGGCTTATTTCACTGACCATAATACCCTCTAGCTCCATCCATGTTGTTGCAAATGGTAGGATTTGTTTTCTTCTTACAGCTGAATATTATTCCATTGTGTATATGTACCACGTCTTCTTTATCCATTCATCTACTGATGGACACTTAGGTTGCTTCCATTTCTTGGCTATTGTAAATAGTGCTGCGATAGGGGTGCATCTGTCTTTTTCAAACTTGGCTGCTGCATTCTAAGGGTAAATTCCTACAAGTGGAATTCCTGGGTCAAATGGTATTTCTATTTTGAGTTTTTTGAGGAACCTCCATACTGCTTTCCACAATGGTTGAACTAGTTTAAATTCCCACCAGCAGTGTAGGAGGGTTCCCCTTTCTCTACCTCTTTGGCAACATTTGTTGTTGTTTGTCTTTTGGATGGTGGCCATCCTAACTGGTGTGAGGTGATATCTCATTGTGGTTTTAATTTGCATTTCTCTGATTAGCGATGTGGAGCATCTTTTCATCTGCTTGTTGGCCATTTGAATTTCTTCTTTGGAGAAGTGTCTGTTCAGATCCTCTGCCCATTTTTTAATTGGATTATTTGCTTTTTGTTTGTTGAAGTGCGTGAGTTCTTGTATATTTTGGATGTCAACCCCCTATTGGATCTGTCATTTATGAATATATTCTCCCATACTGTAGGGTGCCTTTTTGTTCTACTGATGGCGTCCTTTGCTGGCACCTTGAGTCTTAATGACTTTGATCCTCAGTCACCAAACAATTACTGGGTGTCTATTTTATGCCAGATGCTATATAGGTGGTACAGTGGTTAAGAACACAGTCTGGAATCAGAGTATCTGGATTCAAACCAATTTGAGGCTTTTCAGGTCTATGATCTTGGACAAGTCAAGTTATGAATCTCTGAGTTTCTTATGTACAAAATCTGTACAATGGCAGTACCCATCACACTGGGGTGTCAAGAGGGTTAAATAACTTATGGACTTAAATAACTGTGTAAATGTTCAAATGTTGGCAAGACATTGAGCATAAAATGGAATGATGTCTGCCTGCATTAAGCAATGGTTTGAGATGGCTACAACTTTTTTAGTCTTATAAGATATATTGAAAATTTACCTGTCTTTGAAAATATAATAGTTTGAACATCAATAATTTTTTTTCCTAGCCATCCTAGGCAGTGGGCCTCAAGAGTCATCACGACACACAGCTCTTCTCATACTGTGGACCAGCAGCAACCCAACAACCATAGTTTTGTATAGCGCCCAAAGATTTACAGAAGACTCCACACCTTTCACAAGAACCTGGTGAGGTAAGCCAGCTGAGTACCATGACTGAGGACCAGGGTTCCTGTGACCTTGGCCAGGACTCCTGCTGATCATCAGGTGGCTTCATGGAAGAGATGCGGCTGAATGCCAACTGATCTCTTGGCTCCAGCTGGAAGTTAATTCCTTATAAACGAACATCTTATGTATAACAGGTTGGTTGTGACTTGACTTTGACAGAGATGGAGTAGATTACCAAAACCTTTAAACCCTTAATAGTTTGTTGAGGCTTTACTGTCCAATGTTCAGATATCCACACATTTAACTAGTCAGTAACTGAACAAATTTTTGCTTTGTTTTGGGTTTGAAGGGGGTTAATAAAGAGAGTGTTACCATTACTTGATTGTGTTTAGACTCCCTGCCTTCCTAACTCCAGTAAATTCCAGTTAATGATACATAACCAAATCAAATAATGCTTTGGTAAGGATTACACATGGGTAGAGGTGGGCAGAGTAATGTTTGTAAACCCCACTGGAAAACAATTACCATTCACAAGTTAAAAATGTGTTTAGTTGTCCAATAATATGAATCAAGGTCATTCTAAGGTTAAACCCTCAACAATGGAGTGTTCATATTCCAAAGGAGTGACATCAGTACTGCCACTTTTGGATCTTAGTGTCTGAACTAGATCTCTTGGCCTGCCCCTCTTGAAACTATGTGCTCCAGCCCTCCTTTCCCCACTCCAAGTGAAATGTCCTTTCTCCTGTTTCTGTTTAATAGCTACTCAGTTTTTCTCCTTGTTTTATCCAATGGTCTAATTACTGGAATCACCACTCAATAAAATACAGCTTTTGGGAGACAGACCTGTCTTTACCCCTAGGGAATATGCAGAAGTCTTTCCATTCAATGCTAATAGAACAATAAAGTTTAACACCAAATTCCTCCTTGAAAGGATGAGGGGTAAAGCTTTAGTTTAGGTCCTTTCAGAGCAAACCAGCTACATCTTTGTTAGAGTTTTATCCTGTTGTATTTCTTATTAAGGAACTCAAAGAAGAACAAACAGCATAGCTGTGAACGGATAGAGATGAACTCAAATCAGAAATAAAGCATATCTACAAAAAGGAATGGATTGTATAGGAAAGTGAGGATCAGGACATAGTCTTTTTCTAAATGGCTTGTTCCTGTGTCACAGCCTTATTCTGTTGTTAATAGTATTATTTCTGCTGTTAACTGAGCCTGCCTACCCTGTCAGTAAAGGTTTTCATAGATAACAAGAGCATGTGTTTTTAATGCATTTGAGCCCCATTCTGACAAAATAGGTACTAATATGAGGCAAGGGGATAATCCACCAATTACCCCTGCCACCGCCTGCACCACTGCTCTCCTGGATTCATTTGTGGCAACTGGATACAGCAGTCAGGGAGAGAGATGTAGAGAGAGACCTCAGTCACCCAACACGTGAGAACATAAGTATTTACAGGCCACATCATCCTTGTCAGGAAATACTACACAGAGGATGAAAGAGCTACACTGATTTAAAGCCTGCCCCTCTTGAAATGACCATGCCACTGCTGGGCCACACAATCATCCTTTCAAGTCAGGTGCTGAGCCAGATCGGCACCTTTGCCTCAACCCCTTTGATGGCTCAGGGTGACTGCATGGTGTTCCAGCAACTGCAAGGACGCCCAGCACATCTCCTTGGGCAGAAGGAAGGGGGAAGATGGAAGGCACAGCTTCCCATTTTCTGCCTCCAACACAGTGAGCATTCTCCTGCTTTCCTTTCCCCACTCTGAGTGAACTGCCCTTTCTCCCTATTTCTATTTAATAGTTACACAAGACTAATATGCTTACACATTGTAAGATTACAAAAATAACTCCTTTTCCTATCAATCAGTCACCTAGAGCTGATATAGAATCAAACTTTCTGTGTGTATTTTACAAGATTTCCTGAAGCAGGGAGGGATAAATGGGCAGGCATTTGTCAACGGCAACAGGCGTGAAGTTTCCATAAGCAAGATGAGTAGGTTTTCTGGAGACCTATATTACATAGGGCCGATCATTACCAATACTTTTGTATGCTTATATAAATCTGCCAAGAGAGTTGATCTTGTGTTAAGTGCTCTAATCACAAAAGGAAAAAAATATTTTTTAAATCTTTTAAAAAATAAAATAAAGGGGATAAAAGGAAACTTTGGAAGTGCTAGGTAAGTTTATTGTCTTTACTGTGGTCATGATCTCATGGGTGTATTCTTTTCTCCAAATTCATCAAGTTGTATACATGAAACATGTACAGCTTTTAGTTTGTCAGTCATACTTCAATAAAGTGGTTTAAAAAAAAATCAAAGAAAACACTTGGAAGATGACAGTGCTTGGAAGCAGAATGTGATACAGACTCTGATTTCAGCCTCCCCCGGGGCTTCTTAATTCCACTTTCTAACATGGACTGATGCTTGCTTCAACCATGAGAACTTATATATCGTATCGATATTTTCACAAGTTCCTTGTCACGTGCCTTGTCATTTACAAGGACCCCAAGCATAAACTGAGATCACTGTGGCCCTGCTTGGGTACAACCAGAGTAGAAGGCATCGTAGTATTTCACCGGCTTCACTTAGTCAGCTGTGGATTATACAACCCAGTTCAGTGGATTACTGGGAAAGTCAGGTGTTAAGATCTTTGGTTTTTCCTTCCTGGAAAATTTCAAATATCAAGGTTGTTTACTGTGAAATACTACAAACGACTTCTGACATTCTGCTTTAAAAAGTAAAGACTAAGAAGTGATCTAGAAGTTCCTTGAGTTAGGTTTTAATGTGAATCCTTGACACATTATAATCTTTCCACTCTAAGCCTGGAGTTTGCACTTTAAACAGAGATTTCAATAAATTAATGCATTAGCTAAAAAGAAATGGACTCAATTTAAATGACTAAGCAAGTGACCTGCATATTATTTCTTCTAAACAGCCTAAGCAGTGTAAAAAGAAAATGAATACAAAAAGGAATCTGAGTAATGCCCTATGTCAACAAGATTGCATCTAAGTAGAGCCTGTCTTGGGGTGACATGACTCATAGGAGGCCTGCAGCTTCAGTTCTGAACAAACAGATGCACAGTTTCACTCAGCACTAAGCTAACTAGCATTAGTTACACAGTTGACTAGTTATCCAGGCTACCCATATTTGAAACATAACCAGAAACACTGCCTCCTTCAATAAGGCAAGGTCAGTGAGCTTTGACTTCAGGGGTGACCTGAGGTACATGTATTTCAAGGTATGTCAAACAGTACTTTTCAGAAAATCATTTCCTTTAACAAACTCTCAGCAGGCACCCTGACGAGACATAATCTGCGAGGGCCTTTTGTCTCAGGCTGCACTGCTCAGCTATATGGGGCTCTTTGTGGTGATAATTGGTTTGGCTGTCCATTCCACCCATCAGGTGATAGAAAACTATCAATCAGGCTAAATGCAATGTGAGAGAAGTCTCTTTAGCCAATTAGTCAGTAATGAGAACATTAGCCACAATATCTTCTGCAGAGGGCACCTTAGCCATTCCACTGGAGTCTGAGAAGATGACAGTCTGTGTGATTAATAAAGATCACAGGATGCTTCAGAAATTCTACACAGATGAAGAAGAGAATTAGAGAGAAGTGCACTTGGAAGCGCTGAACATTTTTAGTGCCACTGAGTGCTCTATACGAAAACACTCCAAAAAAACAGAAGCAAACAACTTCAGAGCTGGAAGGGACCTTGAAGATAATATGACCCAACTCCCTCATTTTATAGATAAGGCAAGGAACAAAGTGACTAGTACAAGGCCACACAGCTGGCTGGGGAAGGTGCGCTTCTCACTGCTCTAAGTAAAGACTTGGGGCCATTGAAAACAAACAAATAAAAGGCAGCACACCCACATGGAGAGGCTCCTACACGGCTTCTGATATTTTTCTCTGTTTCTTTTTTTCCTCTTGAGAGCAAGAATCTTGCATTTTACTTCTCTTACTTTGCAGGATGCAGCACGACGACTGAGTTACAGCACCTGGAGGAAGTGACCTAGTTTGTACTTAGAGCAATGACCTCTAAGCCAGACTGTCTGGATATGTAGTGCCAGTCCCGCCACTAACCAGATGTGTGGTCATGGGCAAGTACAACATTCTTTGTGCCTCAGTCTCCCTATCTGTAAAATAGGGATAATAAATACATCTACTTAGCAGGGTGTGTGGTGGATTAAAGGAGACAGTCTACATAAAACACACAGGACAGAGACAGGCACAGGGAATCTCAGCTGTTTTGTGGGAAGATGGTTATGCCAAGGGTGTTGGTGGGGCTACTTCCATGTGTACTGGAGAAACACTGAAGTAAATCAGGGCAGAGCACACAAAGTCCATAACCTTCCTTTGGGTGAGGCCTGAGAGGATGATGGAAAGAAGAGAAAATTCCAAAGGGAGAGCCAAGGCAAGGCGGGTGGGGGTGGCTGAGGCGGTTATTTGGGAAAGTACAGTCAAGGGCTTGGGTGATGATGCCAGAATGTAATAGCCTGCTGGGAGGCTGTCTGGGGGTCACCCGGGCACATCCAGGTGGAACTCTTGTGTGCCTTTCGCTCCTGCTGCCCACCAGCCAAGGGTCTGTGTCCCAGGCAACTGCACACGGAGATTCTCACTCTTGAGCACGAGCAGTCAGAGCTCAGCACGCCTTTGTCAGCAACATCACCCTTCTTTGAGTCAACGAGGCCTTGACCTCAGAGGTGACATCACACCTTCCAGAGGCTTCCCTCATCTGTCCTGTGGCACTTGGCCCAGCCTCACAGTGCACGTGTCACATTGCCTCCTCACCCCTTGCTTACTTGTATGACTCCCCTACTCTTTCCATTACTCTATTTCCTATCCCCCAGGAGTGTTAGGTCAGGCAGGTATTTGACAAAAGGGCCAAGAGCTACCCTGATATGGAGCTCTAATGCATTACTATGTCTCTGGGGTTTTTCTCTTTTACCTTTTAATAGTAAATATACTATCACCACTACCACTGACTCTGACATCCCTCCCCCAGAAAAAGAAAACAAAACACATGTGCGATCTAAGGCCAACTTCTTTGCCATGAGTGGGGCAATGAGGGAGGGGTGGGGGGGCACCCAAGCAACAGATGCAAACACACAGCTAAAGGAGTGAACGAGAGCCATGCACTGCAGGAAGGCAGGTGGACACACGAGTAAGGGCAGAATGCATCTGGGAACTGAGGGCTCAGGGTAGACACGTTCCAGGAAAACGAGAGGGATGCTGGCTGTCTTCTGGCTTTTTTTCCTTTATATATAGTGTGTGTATCCAGTTCATATGAGAAAAACAGAGGGAAGGAATAGGAAGAGGGAGAGAGGGATAGCCTTATGGGGTCTTTAAAGGTAGGAATATTTTTTCATTTGCATTTCTAGTCCGTCATAGTGTTGAGGGCACTTTTAACCAACTAAATGATACTGAGTAGGAGACAATGAAATACACCTTGATCTTAGAAGATACACCTCAAAATTTGCCTGAACTCCTGAAAGCCAAGTATTCATCATGTGTGGTTTTCAATCACTGTGTAGAATTCACAAATGGAATTCATCTCTAGGTAGATGATGAGGGTCTCTCCTTCCTGAAAATCCAAAATTAATGCAACTCTCTTTCTGCCATCAGGGTAAATGTGGTTGATATACACCAATCTGTCATCCCTCATTCCTCTAACCCTCGTGTGTCATTAAATCTAATATTATGTTCAACAGGAATTAGAACTTTCTAAGCATACTCCCTCAAAAAAGTCAACAATACACAGGGCAAAGTGCTTAACAAAAGGACCTCATAACTTTGTGAGAAGATGCAAATGACAAATTACACACAGAATAATTGCCATATTTATATCTTTCATACTGACCTCATCTTGCCAGAGTCTGGGAATCAGTGTCAGGAATGAACACTTCACTGATTTAAATAGGATTCAAATATATATATTATGCATAATAATAGTCTTCATCCACTATTACATAAACATAAAATATTACCCTCCTTCTATTCTGGAGACATGATGAAAATCTGAGCTAATACATTTAATTTAACTCAAGTCCCTGACAGAACAGAACTACAATTACTATTTAGAAAGTGTTTGATCCATTCTGCTTGTCTCTGAAAGGCATTCTATGAAACTTTCCATGGAAGAAAACATGGAACCACTGTATTACATGACACACAACGAATATTTTTTAAAAGTTGTATGACATTTAAAATGAGACATTATTTTCTTTAGGTAGGAGTTACTTAAAGTCCAGTAATTCACAAGCATATCTATGCAAATGCATTCTGAGGATTCTTAATCTATGCAAATGTATTCTGAGGTATCTTAATGGTAGAGAGGCAAATGGCACTGCTTTGGGAGTGAGTCTTGAAGCAAAAGCCATGAATGAGAGTGGTTACGTACATACCACTAGATACATACACCTCTGCTAGCTCCAGCTTGGTGGAGAACAGCAGAGTTAGAATAATGACAAAGAGATCCAAGAAGAAAGAGAATAAAAGAGACAGAAGAGAAGGGAAGAAAGGACAAAGCAGGAAGATCAACTACTCAAAATCGAGGAAATTGAATGAAACCCATCCCCTCTCACTCACTCAAAAGATAGGAGGTGTAATATCACCTTTACAGTATTTAAGACGGGGAGAATATTTTAAAAACAAGATTCCAGCACTGAGAATTACAAAGAAAATCCATACCTCTAGGGCTTAAAGGGGATGTTGTAATTCCATCATCCAAAGAGCCCGTCTCACCAGAGACCTTCAACTAGAGGAAATCTTAGTATGACATGTATGGACAGCCACGTCTCATTCATGAGATAAATGAATAAAACAGCTAACCTTTACTAAGGTCTTACTAAGTATAAGGTGATGTTCAGAGCATGTATTAACTCATTTAATCCTCACAAAGCTCCTGGGAAGTGGTAACTATTATTTTCTACATCTTACTAATAATAAGTAACTAGTTTGCTCAAATCACACAGCCAAGAAATAGCAGAGCTGGGATTCAAACCCAGCTGTCTAACTCAGACCCAGTACTATTAACCATTTAATGAGTGGGTGAAGAATGAATGAATGAATGAATGAATGCAAAAGCTATGCTGGGTGTTTCTAACTTGTAGCTTTAAAGGCTGCTGGCACAGCTCATGGGTGCCAGAAAGAATTACCTTATAAACAAACCACAGCTTAACAAAACCATGTCTCCCTCCTGTCACACCCCCACACTGATCTAGTGCCTCCCTTTTAAAGGGGGCAAAATCAAAAGTCAATTTCTCCCTCGTCTGATCCAGCATCTCAGGCACCATGTGACAAGGTAGTGTTGCATGCAAGGAGTGACTGCAGAGCTTCCTGTGGCCCCATGGTGCTTCCTGCCGAAGGAGAGAGGTCTGTCCTAGTGCCCTGGCAACATTCCAAGCTGGGCACAAACTTGACATTAAGTTTGAGGTTTCAGTTAGTGGCACCGTCTCCACTTCCTGTTCAAGCTATTGAGTAAACAGTCTCGTCTTTCCCATCTCCTGAGGTATCTAGACTCGGTGGTATCAGGCTCTGAAAAGCTTAGGCACAGGGAGGGACCCAAGTCTGATAAAACAGGTCTACCTGTGAGTAGATAAAGAGATAAACTACTCAAATTCAGGACTGTTCCAAGAGGCACACTGGCACTCAGCATATGACAATTTGAACATGAAATATATTACTTTATGGAAATATTTCTCCTTGCCCCTCTCCTTCTCACCTTTCTTCTCTCTTTATTTATCAAGTCTTCATTTATGGCTGCAGAATAGGAGACACTTCTGTCTGTTAAAGCTACACTCATTTACCGAAGGCTCTGTTCGACTTTCAGATCTCAGAGTTCTTTTCCTCACACAGTTTCATTTTTTTTCTCTAATATTTGAAAAATGTGCTGTTTCATAAGCCCTAATTTTTGGTTGATAAGAATGCTGGAGAAGAGGCCCCAGAAAAGCAATACCGTAACATTTTCCAAACAGTCATTGAGGGTGAGGGAGTGGGGGTGGAGGGCATTTCTGACCTTACAAAATTTCTGGTGGTTTCTGACATCTAACTTCCTCCCTTTCCGAACTCTCTTCATCTCCCTACAGCCTGCTACACATTTTGGGGCAAGCATGTAGGCTAGTGAAGAATTTTAAAATGAGAAAAGTGAAAATGTCCAACAGCTGCAATAAATTTTTTATTTTAAAACTGGAGCATTGTACCTGGAATAGTTTCTACAAGTGCATGCAGTATATTTTCATCATATCAACCCTGCCCACCTAGGTTTAGCTCCTGGGAAAATTCTAACAAAGACAACACTCTCAATCAGTTTAAGATACTCTATTGTGACAGGAAAGTACCTTGAAAATTGGGGAAGATTCATACATAGAACCAATTTCCCCTCTAGGGAAAATCAGTGACTATAAATTCATTAGGGTAGTTAATTCCTTCATATAAACAGCTCTTGACATCACTGTTACTGTGTAGAAAAATAAGCAGTCTTTTCTAATGAACAGACTGTAGAACCTAAAGTGAAGAGAGTTGAGTTTTAATTATGCTCCTTGTTAAAAGGGAGTAGGGGAGTAAGACGTGTTTCTTTTCCATGGGCATGTTTTAAGAGTAATAAGACAATTGAGTAAAAAAACTTGAGTTCTTCTGGGTAAGGCACTACTTATTCCCAAGATAGTTCTATAAGAAAAACAAAAATAGATTGGTGTGTTCTCTGCAGTTTCAGTGAGGGTTATGGGCCCAAAATGTTTTAAAAGCAGAAAACCGTTAACACTGGAGACATTGTCAGAATACATTTCCCTCTGGTTAAGAAAAGGACAGAGGGAGGGCTAAAGGGGTGGAGCGGAAAGGAATTGTCATCAAAGCATTGTTAATATGGACTGAATTATATATTACAATGGTAATACTTCAACATGGGGAATGAAAATTGTTCCATTTTATTGTGGATTGACAATATGACAATTGTTCATTGAAAGTGGCTGACAGCTGTAGCATTATAGCTCAGTGCACAACACAAGATGAATGAGGCCCAGGCCCCTTCCAGAACAGGCCCCTTATTTCACAAGAGTGTGTATCATTCCAAAATAAATACATGCCAGTTTTTCA